ACTCTTTAACATCCCAATAATTCTCCCAAATGAATCATCAAACCCCCAAATATTCTAGGTCATAACCCCTGAACAACAGCAAGCAGCAGCAGCACGTTTAGCTCAAGCCCAACAACAGCAACAGCAGCAGCAACACCAATCTCCCCAACAACCTCCCCCCACCCAGTCCCCAGTGCCTCCTCCGACCACAGCGCAAACCCCTCAACCTCAACCTCAACCCCTCACCCCCACCACGCAACTACCTCAGCTCCCCTCCACGCCCCCCACAACGTCAATCCCACCCCAGAAGTCCCTCCCTGCTAATTCCACCACAAACAACGCAATCGTCGCAACCACAGTGAAGACACGTCCAGGCGTCCTGACCCTGTCTGACCAGCGACAGACCCCAACAGTCGTCAGTGTCGGTAATCTCCAGCCAGGTCAGCGTTCAGCCACTGCGAACATCGTCTCCAGCGCGCAGAATCCCACAGTCACCCAGAAGGGGATCATCAATGTTCCGATGACGGGCGCCTCCACGAAGACCCTGACTCCAGCTCAGGTCCATGTGTATCGACAGCAGATGCTGCTCCGTCAGCAGCAGCAACTCAAAGCTTTACAGGTGAGAAAAAACAAAAAAACAATGTTGTGGAAGGATTTTTTTTGCAATGACTCTCTCCGTAGATCTAGGGAAACTAGGGGTCAAATAACATGGACTCAATAGTTGAATTCTTAAGGGTCTAGTCAAGTAGGGGAGCATGGGGCAAAATGAAACAGTGGGAAAATCTCGTCATCTAAAGGAGATAGGACATTTTTGAAGAGGACCTTTTTTGTAGCTTGTAAAATTCTCTACAAAAAAGATTTTCATGAAAATCCTGTTATCTCCCTTAGATCACAAGATTTTCTTGCTGTTTCATTTTGCCCCACCGTCCCCTATAATATTACGTAAGCAATTTTTTTTGCATTGTCAAGCCCCCCCCCCTCCCTTTCGCTCCACATCTAGAGAAATTGGGGGTCAAACATTTTTGAAAATCAGATTTGTGAAGGTCAAACTTTCGTCAAGGTCACATATTCTCGAGAATCATACGTGTTTTCGGTCAAAAGTCCTCTAGGATTCGAAGGTTCTTAAGAATTCAACATGTTTAAAGGTCAAATTCTGTTTCTAGAACAAAGTATGCAGTACTTTTGCTGACAATTAATTTCCACTCCTCTATGTCGGCATTTGTCGGAATTTCTTAACCTCTTCCATTCATAAATATCCGGGATTCCCCTTTATGAACACGGTTGTGACCAATCGTAGCACTCCCCTCATTCATTCTTGATCACTCAACACATTGCGTCGGCGCAGCCTGCGCAGGAGAATGCGCAGCTGTCTCACGACTGAATCCCCTTCCAATTTTTTCAATTGCCCAATTCTTGTAGCAAATGGATAACAACCAGCACAACAAAATTTTGAATATTGTTGATAATTCGTAGGGTTTGAGATAATATATCTGGCTGTGTAACATTTTGTGATTAGTCCAGCGCTCACTCGATCTTGTGAAATAATTATCGATTGCAGACCCCTCGAAATGGAAAAATTTTAAAAATACCTTTTCCATTCATAAATATCTGGGATTTCCCTTTATGAACACTGTTGTGACCAATCGTAGCATTTGCCCCCATTCATTGTTGATCACTCAACACATTGCGTCGGCGCAGCCTGCGCAGGAGAATGCGCAGCTGTCTCACGACTGAATCCCCTTCCAATTTTTTCAATTGCCCAATTCTTGTAGCAAATGGATAACAACCAGCACAACAAAATTTTGAATATTGTTGATAATTCGTAGGGTTTGAGATAATATATCTGGCTGTGTAACATTTTGTGATTAGTCCAGCGCTCACTCGATCTTGTGAAATAATTATCGATTGCAGACCCCTCGAAATGGAAAAATTTTAAAAATACCTTTTCCATTCATAAATATCCGGGATTCCCCTTTACGAACACTGTTGTGACCAATCGTAGCATTTGCCCTCATTCATTGTTGATCACTCAACACATTGCGTCGGCGCAGCCTGCGCAGGAGAATGCGCAGCTGTCTCACGACTGAATCCCCTTCCAATTTTTTCAATTGCCCAATTCTTGTAGCAAATGGATAACAACCAGCACAACAAAATTTTGAATATTGTTGATAATTCGTATGGTTTGAGATAATATATCTGGCTGTGTAACATTTTGTGATTAGTCCAGCGCTCACTCGATCTTGTGAAATAATTATCGATTGCAGACCCCTCGAAATGGAAAAATTTTAAAAATACCTTTTCCATTCATAAATATCCGGGATTCCCCTTTATGAACACGGTTGTGACCAATCGTAGCATTCCCCTCATTCATTCTTGATCACTCGACACATTGCGTCGGCGCAGCCTGCGCAGGAAAATTCGCAGCTGTCTCACGACTAAATCCACTTCTAATTTTTTCAATTGTCCAATTCTTATAGCAAATGAATAACAACCAGCACAACAAAATTTTGAATATTGTTGATAATTCGTAGGGTTTGAGATAATATATCTGGCTGTGTAACATTTTGTGATTAGTCCAGCGCTCACTCGATCTTGTGAAATAATTATCGATTGCAGACCCCTCGAAATCGAAAAATTTTAAAAATAACCCCTCATCAATGTTATCAATGTATGATCTCCTTTAACAATTAATTAATTTCCAGGCCCAAGCCTCCGGCCAAAAGGTCTCAGTAGCTGTAACTGGAGTCCAGCAGAGAGCCACCCTGATGAAGCAAGGTGGTGTAAACGTCGGCAAACCCGTCACCAGGACCGTCACCGAAGCGGAGATGGCGACCCTACTAAAGCAACAAGCAGTGATGCAACGTCAACAACAACAGAAGACAGTCACCCAGGTGCAGGTGCCCGGTCAGATGACGACGCTGACCCCAGCCCAGTTGTTCGCCCAAGCAGGCCTCCAGCAGGCGGGGCCCTCCACAGGATCCCCCGTTGCAACTCTAGTTAAAACCGCCAATGTCACTGGAGTGAGGACAGCAACACCTCAGCAAATTCGTCAGCTGCAGCTGCACCCGCAGATCCTCACCCAGAGGAAGCTGCCAGGCCAGAAGGTGGCGCAATTGGCTCAAGTCGCTGGTAAGGCTGGGGTCCAGACCCAGTTGATCGTCCAGCAGAAGTCACTGCCTGCTACTATGACTGTCCAGCAGATCCAGCAGGTGATCAATAGAGGGGTGCCCCCCCAGGGGCTGCAAGGATTCACCCATGTGTCCACTGGGCAAGGGGTGAGTCAACCTGGACAGATGGTCTTGGCGAAGTCCCCCATCCAGACGAGGGTGATACCTGTCAGTGTTGCTGGGGGCATCAAACAGGCCATACAAGTGGTGGCTGCCAGCAATCCCCAGCTGAGGCAGGCGACACCATCCTCGGGGAAGCCCATTGTCACCACGGCTAGGGTCAGCCCTGGACCGAGTCAACAGGTCAGACTGCAGAGTGTCCATCAGGGGATCCATCAGCAGGGCCAGGGACAGGGGCAGAACCAGGATAACCTCCAGAAATAATTCTTCTCGTTTTCTTTTTTCTTTTATCGGAAGCTGTTTTTTGGGGCGAGGGAGGGGGGCTTGTTGAGTTTCAAACATTCCATGGGGTTTTGAGGGAGAGTGGGAGATTCCTTTGTTTATTTTTTCTTTTGAAGATGTCTGTTGATGTTCATAGATGGTTTGGTTATGTAACGGTGATCCTTTAATGTATTATATTCGTGTATCATAGATTAAATAAATAGATAATTGATGATAATTAATTGGTGGAGTTGTTTTTTTTTTGTGAGTGAATTTAAGATGAAGTTTTTTGGTCGGTGAAATATTTCATGGTGATGGGGAGGTATGTTGGCCTAGGCGGTCCTCAGCACTTTTGCAATGTTTGATTAATTGGGAGAAATGAGGAGATCGGAAGTCCTCATCGGGGGTTTCTTTATTCTTTTATTTTTCTTCGCTTTTATTCGCGTAATTTTCATAGTTTTTCACGATTTATTTTACTGTCACATTGAGGAGTTTCTAGCCTTTACATCTCATTGGAACATTCTTATACAAACAATGTGGAAGGTAAATGTGAATGTGTGAATTATCACAGATGAATTGGCACAGTAGTCAGAGAGTGAGAATATAAGACTCAATTCAACTAATGATTCGTTTCGCGATTGAAGCTCCATAGCCGGATGTTCTCTCCAGCATCAATCGGAGTTCTCTTGCCACGGTCATCAGTCTCTTCGAGTGCTGTGTCCGAATCCTCACGTCCAATGGCTTGAGTGTTATCGAGATTTCTGTACCTATAGAACTTCGCCATTATTGCTAATATCATCATGTCCACCGCCATCAACCCAGCGAAGAACAAGAACTCCGACGCCTAGAGACAAAATATAGGAGAGTTGGGGTAAAACGGCATTTTTGACTTTTTTAAAAATATTCGTGACGGGTCGAAATGTTGATGACATTTTATCTTTTTTTTCAGTACAAAGAACAATTCTTTCCCTCTGTGGTGAGCCTAAACTGAACTCGAATTTTCTGGGTGGCAGGACTATTTAACACATTCAAACAAATTCAGGACAACACATCAACTCAACAAATAGCCTATTGAACACAAATTTTTTCATTACACAGCCAATTCAACACATTGTTAAGTCAACATATAGTGTATTGAACACATTGTTTTGTCAATACATAGTTTTTCAACACGAACTTCATTCAGCACGTACATTTCGGGCAGCGTCACATTTTGATTCTACGGGAATTTGTAAACAGGAACGAGGGATTGAAGAAGATTGTGTCTGGCTACACTGCTGATTGTGATATATTGGATTATCTGAGGGGAATTGCCCACAACGTTAAATTGTAATCGATATCCACTATCAAACAATTGAATTGTTGCAGAAATTTTCTATTTACTATACGAATTTTGTAGTGATTAATCTTCATATGAATTTTTTATGAAGAAGCAAATAAACTCATTGATTATGTATTGAGTGAATTTATTGTTGAATTCATGTTGTGAGGAATTTGTGTGTTGAATTTGTTTTGTGTTAAATTTGTTTTGTGTTAAATAGTCATGGAACCTGTTTCTGAGTTATGAATTAGTTGTTGCTTTACTGGAGTGAGATAAAACTAAACATTACAGCAAAATCACCATGAATTTTTTCTTTACCTGTCGGTCAAATATCTTCGCTTTAGCGATGATGACAACAATGAGATTGCCAAAGGCGACCGTGAGCAACCAGGCAGCTTGGACAATCGATTTCATCGAAACTGGCGCTTGGGTGAACGCAAATTCAAGCCCCGTGACACCAAAAAGAACTTCACCAATCGTAATAACGATATACTGGGGAAGAAGCCACAAAATGTGAACAGAATTCGGTGGAGTAACTGTTGTGAGACCCAATCTCGTACCATTAGTAGTCACATGCGTTTGCAGAGTGTAAACTCCACCGAGTTTGAGAACTATTGAATCCACAAATTTCCCATCAACTTTGACTCGATATGTCCCGGGGTTGAATTCGGCCACTGGTGTTACTTGCGGTATATCCGATGTCGTTCCATTTATTTTGAAAGCGTAATTTACTCCTGATAATTCAACCTTTGTGGTGGCATTGGAGTTGAGGAGATTGTAGATTAGTACTCGAACCGCGGGGTTTCCACTACTGGTCTTGTTGACGTAGTCCTTGTAGGAGTAAGGATTTGATGGCTCCAGTACGTATGAGGTTGCCTGTCCCTCCACAGCCGTGATCAATCCTTCTGATTTCTTTTCGCCACCACATTGTGAAAAATCAGCCATATAAGGTATTGATTGATTACCTTTTGCAGTGATAGAACTGTCTTCCCAGATGCCGAAAGGCTCCATCACTAGAAATTTATTGTTTATCACAATAGGCAAATGGCAATCTCTCGGGTTGAAAATTCGCACTTGCGCCAGGCCATTTGTTGGATGAATTGGATAAGTCGCCTAGATAATAATTCATTCAAACTATACTTCTTACGTTGTTTTGTTTGGATCGTAGTATTTCTTTTGGAAAAGATGACTGTGTGATGGCCTTCAGCAATTTGATGATTAAGACGAAATCATGAAGAAAAAAATTCTTGTTGATGACCCAACGTTTTCATTTCCAGGCTTCCTTATTTGAAAATTTCAAAACGTTTTTTCTTCAATAATGAAGAAAAACCAATGCATTTTCTTTCTATCGTCTAATTGAGTAGCGAAGCGGTAAAACGGGTCAAGTCGATTTTGACTATTGGCCAGTTTTTGACGACTATCTCGGAATCTAAAAGAGATAGAAAAATTCTTGTCATGACCTTTTTTGTAGAGTCAAGTGAGGGTTATAAAAAGGGTTATGAGAAAAATTTTGCCATCTCTCTTAGATTCTGAGATATTCATAAAAAACTGGCCAAAAGTCAAAACCGACTTAACCCGGTTTACCGCTTCGCTACTGAATTCTGATGGAAGAAAGTGAAAAGAGGAAGAGAAACGAGATCAATACGAAAGCATAATTTTTAATTTTCCAATGTCTAGGGAAAATTGAAAATTGATAGGGGACGGTGGGGCAAAATGAAACATGGGGCAAAATGAAACAGCAAGAAAATCTTGTGATCTAAGGGAGATAGAACGATTTTCATGGAAACCTTTTTTGTAGAGAATTTTACAAGCTACAAAAAAGGTCCTCTTCAAAAATGTCCCATCTCCTTTAGATGACGAGATTTTCCCACTGTTTGAACCCATAAATATAATTCTTATCCTCACATTTTCATAGAATACTTCAAAAAAATATCAAAAAATTCAAATCGGCGATGAAAAATTTTATCGGATTATCATTATGTAATAATTTCTGAAGACCGCAGAGGCCATCACACAGTCTCTTCAAAATGAAGCTATTCAATAGTTACCTCCAGTTTCAATTCTACAAGAGCAGAAATCACAAATGCCACAGAAGCTAAGACTCCGCCGGTTGTAATTTTTTTCAATTGTGTATTGAGACACCCAATCTTCGCAAATAGGGGGTAAACGCACCTGTCAACTAGTGGAATAAGAATGATGACTAAAAGCGCTGGAATAACTTGCATTTGATCAGCCTTCACGAGGTAGTTTCCAATCTCCCCATCCATCCTTGTGGCTTGAAATGTCCACCGCGATCCTTGTTGATCGACAAGCGCAAAGAATAATGGCACAGGAATGAAGATTTTCAGAACATACAGAACTTCTTTTACATCGAAAATTAATTTCGAATCGTACTTATCGTCTGCGTGATCGAGCCAGTGTTCACGGTTCACAATTCCGTTCGATTTCAATTTATTATAAACTGCGTGCTTACGGAAGATGAAAACACAATTACCAAACGTGTGATTCAATTTTTTTCAATGAAGTTTCAAAACTTACCGAGATACATCTAATGACATTCAGGGCAACATTTCCCTTCGGTTTCTCCATCCTGTACAAGGGTTTGCCAACAACAAATATCACTGAAATTGACCAGAAAATTGTACCATACAGTTGCATTGGAAATCTTTTGATAATTCAATTGTCTCCTCACCTATTGCTACAACCATGAGAGCTGTAGGAATAAAAAATGCAGCGGAGTAGCAGTCTTGTTCTCCGAAACATTTGATGCCGGTGCGAAGCTGTGGAGTGAGGAATGCAGAAATGGTTGATCCAGCGCTTATCGCGAGACAGAACAGTGAGAAAAATGTTGTAATATATTTCTGCTGTTCAGGAAGAAGAAATTGCTCTCCACCGAAAGCCGCCGCACACGGTTTTATTCCAGCCGTGCCTATTGCAATCAACAGCAATCCAATCATGGAGAATTCCCTGAAAACATTATTAGATATATTTTGTTTTCACTCAGGAATATTTTGTGGCAAAAAGCTATTGCCACAGAATATGATTTTTTTGCAAAAATTATTCTAAATCTCAATTGTTTTAGAATGGATATTGAAGTTGAGTGTTAGAAACGTGAGTGATTATTCCAAGTTTTCACTTCTCCGACAATATTTGCCTCACGTAGTAGGGGAGGATGACGATTTTCATGGAAACCTTTTTCGTCAATATTTTCCGATTCAATAATCCGATTGGGATGAGTTAGAGCTCGTTTTGAAGAATGAAAAATTATCTTCAAAATGAAGTTGAAACTGGGAATTTTCACAATGTCATTCACAAGTTATTGACAATTGAAGGGGGGCCGTTTTGCCCCACCCTCCCCTAGTCCATACGCCCATCGTGGTTTTATCCCGAAAATGAGGTCTACGGGAGAACTATGTTGATTTAGACTAATTCGGGGTCGTAGAACACGAATATCGCGGTTATTTTTCCGTGCGAGTTGCTNCTAGTCCATACGCCCATCGTGGTTTTATCCCGAAAATGAGGTCTACGGGAGAACTATGTTGATTTAGACTAATTCGGGGTCGTAGAACACGAATATGGCGGTTATTTTTCCGTGCGAGTTGCTTTTGCCATTGTTATAAACAATTTAATTGTTTAAACGCTAATAACTCTCAAGTTATGGGAGCTACGGAAAAAAAGTTTCTTCAAAATTTGTTTGTCTTCTCAAGACGAACGAAATGGTTTTTTATTTTTCTCGATAGCTTCATTTTTGGCAGAGTTATGATAAGAGACGTGCCCTTGGCTGGGGAAGTCATGCGAGCGGCTACGCTCGCGCTGCCCGGGCCGACGCTAGCGGTGTTATGTTGTTTGTGGTCGTCGACTGCATACACCTATTGCTGTTATGTTTTGATTCTATGATTCTATGTTGGAGTCCGAAAACTGACAGAACTTTATCCACCGATAAGTGATTTAGTCCCCAATTGCACTGATGCAAAATGTAAACGAGGAGTTTGCCATTGCGCAAGGGCAGAGAAACCTTGCATTGCATTTTGTAAATGTCAAGTCAATGGAACATGCCAGAATCCTTTCAATGAATAAAAAGAAAATTGAGGAGGAACACTTCTTCGTATTTATTAAGGGCCCAACCATAAGACAACGTGCGCGTTACACCCCGCGCGGCGCTGTTTTTTTTAGCTTGAGGCACTCTTCTAGAGATTTCTCCTCGTAATATTTGGAACTGCACATGGCGACAGATTCAGATGTCTACCAGTGATTTGCTATTTTTTGGTAGCATCTCCTAGGGAATCAACTTCTCTATATATTGTTACGGAACCGAATGGCTTAGTCTATCCTCTTTCCTCCTTTTGTAAAATGAAAGAAAGTTGATTGTCATTCTCTAATGTTAAGGAATAATTTCATGTGTAATTGATCTTTGTTCCATGATTGATTCTGAAGCACTGCCCCTTCGATTGGTCCTAGATTATTACTTAATTGAATAGAACATTTGGAATAATGGAGAATGATAGTTCGATTGTGGTTGTTAGTCCCCAGAGTTCCATGGAGAGAAGATGGATGCATCAGATAAATGATGAAGTATTTTTGAATTTTTCAGACTATTGATTTCAGTAGTGAAGCGGTAAACCGGGTTAAGTCGATTTTGACTATTGGCCAGTTTTTGACGAATATCTCGGCATCTAAAAGAGATAGAAATTTTTTTGTCATGACCTTTTTTGTAGAGCCAATTGAGGGTTACAAAAAAGGTCATGGAAAAATTCTGCCATCTCTCTTAGATTCCGAGATATTCATCAAAAACTGACCCAAAGTCAAAATCGACTTAACCCGGTTTACCGCTTCGCTACTGATTTCAATTGAACCTCTTTTAATTTTATTTTCCGTCAAGTTTTCCCACGTAATTTTTTCGTACGTGAAAACACTCCGAGGAATGTATTTCCATGAAAAAAATGTAAATTAGTCAACTAATCCGAAAGTGATGGGTTCATATCCCCAAGGACATGTAAGACACCGATTGCCTCATCTGAATTCGAATTATGCAATAATTACCTCATGGGTAATCCCAACGTTGGTACAGCGCTCGCGGAAAGTAGTAGCTGACCCAGAGAATAAATAATACTGAAGTAAAAGATAGTCCTGAATTTTCCAAGCATTGAATCGGCCAGTATTGCACCGAACAACGGAAAGGTAAACACCAGCATCGCGAACGTGTGGAAGATGATAGTTGAGGCGTCATCGTTGAAGTCCAATTTGTTTTTTATATACAATGCTAAAATAGCTGTAAAAATAAATTAATGTCACAATGTAAACAATGACCTCATATTTTTCATGCTACTTACTTCGCATTCCAAAGAATGAGAATCTTTCACAGAACTCGGTACTGATAATGATGAAAATTGCCTTTGGATACGTCAGTTTCTAAATTTGTATGGAATAATATGCCTGTCAGTTACGATAAATCGATTGAAATAAATGAATTTTCTCATCGGAATTTCAATTATGAGTAATAATAGAACCATTAATCCCACCGTTTTAACAATAAATAATCATTACCTTTTCCTCCTCCCTCTCTTTCGCTTCCAAAATCATTTTCCTGTTAATAATGCTTGGAGATTAAATAATTGCATAAATCACACTAGGATAGAAAATCTCGCCTGTCTGGTACTTGGAGCGTGAGTAACACTCACGCTATTATCTGCCGTGCGTACCAGTGGCGGAGAGTGATAATGTCTTGTCTCATTTTTTAATACACTGAATGACAGGATGCAACCGCCTTGGGCCATCAACAAATTTATCACATTTCACACACTCTGGCTATCAGTAGAAATTAATCAGTAGAACACGTACGAAAAAACCTCATTGAAGCTGTTGTCTGCAACATTTTTGCCGTTAAAAAAATCAACAGGAAATATTTTACAGAAAAAATCAGCAGATTTTGAATTTTCCGTCAATAATTGAAACTTCCCTCGCACTTTCTCAGTAATAAAAGTCAAATAGATAAACTTCTGGTGATTTTTTCAATTTAATATTTTCTATAAAATTTTGCGCGATGACTTCGTATGTGAAGAAACTTTAGGTGCAATTTTTACCTGATTCGATTATTATTTGTGTCAATAAATCTCTTTACGTCTTAATATTATCACATTTCTTCCCGTGTGTCATGACTGAGACTTGATTTTGTAATGATTTATACAACTGGGGAGAGAGGATTGGGCTCCGTAATTCAATGAATAGAGCTCTCGACTACTGAATTGCGACATTCAGAGTTCAGCGGGCATCGGAGATAGTGATAATGTGCAGACACTCGACTACTCCGCAGGGAAAGAGGGGAAGGTGCGATTGGGTTTATCCCAACCGTATGAGGATATTGTGCATTAATTAATGGGGAAGTTGAAATGAACAAGGATGAATACTAAGTAGAATAGAATGAAGTATTATAGGTTGACGGTCTGTTCAGTACCAGCCAGAATAATCTTGCCATGATCAGCCGTCAACCTAGCGAAGAAGAACCGAGGGACTACTCCCCGAGTGGAAATTTTGGTCAGGTCCAAGTCAAGACTGGATAAAGTCAAGCCTGAGGATTCATCAGAAAGTGATATGATAACTGGATCAAGACCTGATTAGTCATGTAACGCGGTTACGAGACTATTGTAATATTATTATAATATTATGTTATTGTAATATTATAATAACATGATATTATAATAATAATCATTCATTATAATATAATAATAATTATTATTATTATTATAATTATTATAATTATAATATTCTTAGTTAATTATTAATAATTATTAATGATAATTAATTCAATATTTTCAGTATTTTATTTTGCGAATTTCCGAGAATTCAAAAACAATGACTCCTCCAGGAAAAACAGGAGCATTCATTTAAAGGCTTTCGTAGGTAATGAAGTGGGGGGAGCGCTCGCGGGCCGAAAAATCGCTATGAGGGGAAATGCGACTATAACGAGTGTGACTCTAACGGGAGTCTACTGTATAGAGTGAAGGTGCTTTGTAAAATTCTAAATATTGGTGTTGCTATCAAAATTTATTTACTATCCCACCTTACCGATGGAATTATAAAAATATTACAATCTAGTAACAATGAAGTGTACAGAATTTTCTAAATTTAATTTTGAACTTCAGCAGACGTCTAGAGACGAGGTAGTGTCATACTGTGAGATGGAACAAAATAAAAAAATTAATGATTGATATTTATAACAATGAATACTTGAATCGAACAAGCAGGTGGAGAAGGGAAAGGGAAATTGAGTTTATTTCCACCGTAGGAGGATACTATGCATTAGGGGAGGGTGGGGTAAAATGGACACTTCAGACTTTTTTTAAATTACTCATAACTCAGAAACAAACTTATCGATGGAGCTCAGTTTAGGCTCACCACAAAGGGCAGGAATTGCTCTTTGCACTGAAATTTTTTTTATTACATTTCACTATTTCAACCTGTCATTAACATTTTTTAAAACTTAAAAGTGTCCATTTTACCCCAACCTCCCCTAATTAATACAGATGTTGGGATGTATAAGGATCGATACTAGTAGGGGAGGTTGGGGTAAAACGGACACTTTTGACTTTTTTTAAAATGTTAATGAGGGGTTGAAATATTGATAGAATTAAATAATTTTTTTTTTCAATACAAAGAACAATTCTTTCTCTTTGTGGTGAGTCTGCTCTGTGCTCAATTGATAAATTTGTTTCTGAGTTATGAATAATTCAAAAAAAGTCCAAAGTGTCCATTTTACCCCACCCTCCCCTAGTAGCTGAAATCAATCAGCAGGAAGGTTCGTGATTGAAGTTCCACAATTTGGCGGTCTCGTCACCATCAGCGGAAATAGTCTTGCCGTGGCCATGCATCTCTTTCAAGTCTATCCCAGAATCTTTGCATTCAATGGACTGACGGTCATTGTTGAAATTCCTGTACTTATAGGACTTGCCCATTATTGCTAATATCATCATGCCCACAGCCATCAACCCAGCGAAAAAGAAGAACTCTGATGACTAGAAACAAGATAGTATCAAATGGTGAGACTAGAGATGCAAAATGACCGTCATTTTTTAGATCGCGTCATATGACCAAAAAATGACGGTCTTGTGACGGTCATTTGACGCACAAATTTTCCAACTACAAATGATTGTCACAAATCATTTGTAACCAAATTGTTGTCAAACCATCTATACAGTTGCATAATGACGGTCATGAATAAAACAAAATAGTTTCATCTATATTATGGATGAAAAAAAACGTGATTTCCATTTCAAAATGCGGATTAGGCCAATCCAAAAGGAATTCAACTGAAAATTGACCGAGAAAAAAATAAAGTTTCATCTATATAGATGAAAAATGACTGTCATTTTTTCTTGACAAGTTGTGACGGTCACAGAAGGGGAAGGGGGAATTGTGACAGCCGTCATGAACGCCTCGTCATGTGACTGTCAATGACGGTCAAGCACTTGCATCTCTAGGTGAGACATAACTGAACATCGCAGCAAAATAAACATGAATTTCTTCTCTACCTGTCGGTCGAATATCTTCGCTTTAGCGATGATGACAACAATCAGGTTGCCAAAGGCGATAGTCAGTAACCAAGCAGCTTGAAGAAGAGACTTCATCGTGGATGGGGCTTGGGTGAACACAAATCTAAGCCCCGTGACACAAAACATAACTTCACCAATCGTAAGGACCATGTACTGGGGAAGGAGCCATAACATGTGAACAGAATTTGGAGGAGTAACTGTTGTAAGACCGACCCTCGTACCATTAGCAGTCACATAAGTTTGCAAAGTGTAAACTCCACCGAGTTTGAGGACTATCGAGTCTACAAATATCCCGTTAACTTTGACTTGATATGTTCCGGGGTAGAAGTTGTTTATTGGCGTTATTTGCGGTATATCCGATGCTCCGTTTGCTTCGAAAACGAATTTTACTTCTGATAATTCAACCGTCGTGGTGACATTGGAGTTGAGGAGATTGTAGATTAGTACTCGAACCGCGGGGTTTCCACTACTGGTCTTGTTAACGTAGTCCTTGTAGGAGTAAGGACTCGATGGCTCAAGGACGTAGGAGGTTGCCTGTCCCTCCACAGCCGTGATCAATCCCTCTGATTTTTTTACTCCACCACATTGTGAAAAATCAACCACGTAAGGTATTGATCGATTACCGATCACGGTGATAGCAGTGTTTGCCCAGATGCCGAAGGGCTCCATCACTAAAGATTGATTGTTTATAACAATGGGCAGGTGGCAATCTCTCGGGTTGAAAATTCGCACTTGCGCCGAGCCGTTTGTTGGAAGAATTGGATAAGTCGTCTAGATAATAATTAATTCAAACAATATTTCTCAGTTTGATTCGAGGATAGAGCTTTTTCATACACTGAGGAAAAAATTTTCTAATATCTGAAACATATTTTTTTGGGACAAGTAAATTTTCTTCAATTAATTCTCTCAGGCATCTCAACTCACATGACCCGAGAAAGGCCCCATGCTTTAAAATATTTTTGTACTCAAGTATGATTTTGTCGCCAATGAAGTTACTTAAGGATATCCAAGTACTTTGACTATTTTTTCTCCAGTGAAATGATTTTCTACTTTTGTAGTCGAGCCTCACAGCTTTCATTTGAGCCCCATTTGACCCTAAGTTTCCGGACATTTTACAAAGATTTTATTATTTAAACTTTGCAGGTCTGAATTTGAATCTTGGTATTGAACTGTTAGAAAACATTATAAAAACCTGAAGAAATTTTAGAAAGTTTACTTTTGGAGGAAGATTGATGAGATAATTAGAAAGTTGCAATTTTTGAAAATTAGGCGCCTTTTCTATAAATAATTTATAAACAATCCATTTTCTACCATAAAAATCATTTGTTCGGAATCGTAACAAATTTATTCACATTCAGAATTTTACCATAAATCGATTTCATGCCTAAAAAAAGGTTTCCGAAAGTTTAAACAATTTTAATTATTTATTTATAAACAGCGAATATTTAAAAAATAATAATTCTGTGCAAAATGAAATTTGAATGACATCAGTGTCATTCACATTTCATTTTCATAATTTTCATATTCATAATTTTCTTCAAATTTTTCTCAGGCAATTTGATTGACAAAATTGATGATTGAAAATAGTTGAATGTATAGTGTGGTCTGTACCAAACTGTAAAAGATACTTGGATATCCTTAAATCGCGTAGAAGAATCGTCAATCTTCTAGTCTTTATTGTTTTCATCATTTTTTCGTTATGCACTTCCAATATTGCAATATGTAAAATATTCATGACGTAACGCGGAACGATAATGATGAATGAAAATTCATTCGAGTTCCGTGAAGTGCACACATTCTGAGATTTGAGCCATTGAAAACGATTTACTTTTCTCAAGAGAATATTTTCAGTTTCAGATGTTAGAAATTTTTTTTCTCAGTGCAGTTACCTCCAGCTTCAATTCCACAAGAGCAGCAATGACGAATGCAACAGCAGCCAACATTCCACCAGTCGTTAATCTCTTCAGTTGCGTATCAAGGCATTTAAACTTTGTCAACCGGGGATAGAGGCACGTTTCAATTATTGGTATGAGACCGAGAATGAGAAGTGCATTGACCATTTGCATCTGATCAGCCTTCACCAAGAAATTTCCTATTTCCCCATTCATTCTTGCAGCTTGGAATGTCCATCGCGAGCCTTGTTGTTCGGCGAGCGCCCAGAACACTGGCAGAGGAATGAGAATTTTCAGAACCCCCAAGGCTGCTTTTAAATCGAAAATTAATTTCGAGTCGTACTCATCATCTGCGTAATCGAGCCAGTGGCCACGCTTCGTAGTCCCATCTGACTTAGATTTCTCGCAGACCGCGTGCTTGCGAAAAAGGAAAGTAGTCACAGCAGTTTTTCTTTTTTGGAATTGAAAATTGATCACACGGAGAAATATTCAAGAAAAATTACGAGACATTTCACGTAATCCGCAAGCGAGAATCGTTTTCAGTGAATTTCTATAGGAATATAAGAGAATAAATCTGAAATGTTCAGTAAATTTTCGGATCTGTCACCGAAAAAATACGAAAAAGTCACGTAATTTTTCTGGAAGTTGTAAAATCTAACAGAAACTTCAAGACTTATTATGCCTCAGAACCTGAAAATTCTTGGATGTTTAAGAATTTTTACGAAAAGCTCCGGAAAAATTACGGAACGTGTTGTTAAAATCTCCCCCTCACGGTGACTCATGGCTAGCCGTGAGGCCTCGAACGGATGAGTAATTTTTACGGAACAGATCGTAGAATTTACGTGACGATTGACACTTTTTATTGAATTTTACTTCGCTCCCAGATTACGTTTCGAAACGTAATTTTTACGTTTTTTTCTGGTAATTTTTATTGAATATTTCTCTCCGTGATGGAAACTTACCGAGATACATCTAATCGCACTTAGCACGACATTGCCCTCTGGCTTCTTTATCCTATACAGTGGCTTACCCATGGCAAATATCACTGAAAATTAATAAGGCAATGTCAATTCTGAAATGAGGTGAAGAATTTAGATGTTCAGCTTTCTCAATCACCTATTGCTAGAACCATGAGGGCCGCAGGAACAAAGAAGGCAATGGCGTAGCACTCTTGATCTCCAAAGCACTTGATGCCATTGCGGAGTTCTGGAGTGAGGAATGAAGAAACTAGCGATCCGGCGTTTATCGTAAAATAGAAGACTGAAAAGTACATTGCGAGGTGTCTTTCTTGTTCGGGGAGAGTGAATTGATCTCCGCCTAATGCGGAAACACATGGTTTTATTCCACCTGTTCCCATTGCAATAAAGAGCAATCCGATCATAGAAATTTCCCTGAAAAATCTTTATTTAGAACCCAAGTTTATGAGAATCGTTTCTGATGTGAGACATTCAATATCTGACCGGTGATGGCTATTGGCGATCGCAACATAGATGTCAGAGCCACCAAGTGGACCCTAAACTAACTATTTTTGGGGGCTAACCAATGAAACCACTGGGAGCGAACCAATGATAGGGGTCAACCAATGAGATCACTGGGTTCCCCTTGATCTCATTGGTTGGCCCCCGTGAGTAGTTCGTTTAGAGACCATTTGATGGCTCTCACATCTACGTTGCGATCGCGAATTGAATTTTTTTTCGAAGAATCAATGTGGATATTCAAGAAAGAGCTGTGACTATTCAATGAATTCCATTTCTTCATATCAACAAATGAATAGATCTTGTGGAATATATAGAGATATGATGACCGACGGTAGTGGCCGTGCGGTTAGAGTGCTAGACTCGTATGCCAATGATCCGGGTTCGCTTCCCGGCACCGGCGGTCAAAATTTATAGCGCTGTAATCTCACAGTTTCACTGCCGAGCGGTAGTCCCGTCAAAAGGACGACTGTACCAGGGCAGGTTTTTCCCTCGAATAAGGTTTTCCGCGAAGGGAACAAATCGTAAAGACCCGAAAGGGTATACGAGAAGAAAAAAAAAAAAGAGATATGATGGGCTGACGAATGATGTGTGCACAATAATTATTTCATCTTAATTGGTATTGTGAAGTAATAACCAGTACCTGATCGGTAATCCGAAAGTTGGAACAGCGCTCGCGGAAAGAAGAAGCTGACCCAAACAATAAATAATATTGAAGTACAAAATGGTCCTGAATTTTCCAAGTAGCGAATCGGCCAGCATCGCACCAACTAATGGAAAGGCATACACCAACATCGTGAAAGTGTGAAAGATGATTGTAGAGGTGTCATCACTGAAGTCCAATTTGTTTTTGATATACAATGCCAATATTGCTATAAGAATAAATTGCCGGTAGAGTAGATGATGACTTGCTTTTCTCACATCATGTCACTCACTTCGCATTCCATAGTACGAGAATCTTTCGCAGAACTCGGTACTGATAATGGCGAAAATTGCCTTCGGATACTTCAGTTTCTGGATTTTAATGAAAAAATTTCTATCAGTCATCGTAAATTATGAGATTATTCATAGAATAGCGAACGGGCGCGAAGCACAACAAAGTATAAAGTAATCTGGCGATTACTTTATAGTATAGACTCGTGCTCGTTGCGTTTCGACATCGCTCATCTCGTCTACCGCTCGGTTTCGCATAAGCCTTCCATGCGAGATTATACCATTTATGCACGTGTAACGTACATTATTTTTTAACAGAAGCTGTACGAAAAAGTTCTCACGTGTACGCAAAAATGTATCAAATATACCCACAAAAAACATTTTTTTGAATCAAATAACCGGATTTATTTAAAAAACATGATTATTTATTTGAGACATATATTTCTTTATCTAAAGGAAATTCTCTTGGAGTTTATAAAATATTTATGCATATTTAATAATAAAGGAATTGACCAACTTTGAAAAAAAAATTAAATACGAGAAAAACTGCAAATAAAGACGAAATTTTATTTTCTGTACTGGTTCTCACGATTTCTCGTCTGGGAATTGGTATTACATACTTCCCAAACTCGAAAACTTGAAAATCACTACAGAAAAATATTGTTCCTGGGCTGTTGCGATGGGGTTTTTTACTCGTGTGATTGGCCAGTCCTCGCCTACGGCTCGGAGGCCAACGCCACATGAGTAAAAAAACCCCATCGCAATAGGCCGGAAAAATACTATTTCATCACGCTGTGACGAAAAGTGAACTTTTCGGCACGCTCCGCATGCCTAAAAGTCCAATTTCCGCCACATTGTGATGAAAAATATTGTTCGTAACTCGTGAAAAAATGTTTTTTAGCTCGTGGGATTATATCACGAGCCGAAGGCGAGTGATATAAACCTCCCACTCGCCAAAAAACACTTTTTTGCACTCGTTACGAAATATACTATTTGGCTCGTGGGATTATATCACTCGCCTTCGACTCGTGCTATAAACTTCCCACGAGCCAAAAAACATTTTTCCCACGAATATCGAACGATATTTTTTATCACGCTGTGCGAAAAAGTCACTTTTTAGACACGCTTCGCGTGCCTAAAACGTCCCTTTTCCACATATTGTGATGAAAAATATCGTTCGATACTCGTGGGAAGTGTTTTTTGGCTCGTGGGTGGTTTATAGCACGAGCCGACGGCGAGTGATATAATTCCACGAGCCAAAAAACACTTTTCCGCACTCGTAATGAAATATACTATTTTAGGCCGTGTCAATAGTACATTACATGCCCGAGCCTTGGAAAATAGATCACCGTCCCCCACGTGCAAGATTGCCTTCCGAGCCGAAGGCGAGGATGGCAAGCACGTGGGGAAGGGTGATATGTTTTCCATGGCGAGGTGTGTATATTAATTTTCGTGTCGAGACCTGCAGAACGCCAATTGCGTGGCGCGCAGCGCCACGGAAATGGAGTTTTTCAGGTCCCGTGACACGAAAATTAATTTTAGATTATTCCTCTCATGATAGGTGACAAGGACAAATGTTCAAGAACATTTTTACAAGGGAGAATTGTTAAAATATGAAAAAATATGAAAAGTTATTGAAGCGTTTCTATCAATACATTCGTACCTTCTCGTTTTTCGGCACTTCCGCTTTTGAATCCATTGCGAATTCGGTCCACAGTTTTCACAGATCCAATTGCATGAATGACACAATGACAGTATGGCACGACTGTCTTATCAAGTTCCTACATGATATTCCCAAACGATACATTGTTCTCGACGTTTGGCATAATCCTCTAATACTCTGTCAGCATTCAATCAAATCTCACGTCAGTGACTGCTGTTTCCAGCAAACAATTACTACTGACGCCATTTGAAATAGAGACAACAACGGAAAACTTTTCTGATAATTCCAAGCAAATTACCGATACATTTCTGGTTCGTATTATAATCGAATTAGTTTTAGTTTCATACAATTCCATTTCAAGAGGGAAATAGTTTATCATTCACATATGTGTTTGATGAAATTGCTTCTGAGATGAAGGGAAAACTTAATAAAGTTCATATCGACTATGAACTTGCCGAAGCCATTGCACTGAATTAAAAATTTTAATTAATTTTTAATTATTTCTTTAAATTAATTTTTAATTAATTAATTGTGCGGGGAAATCGAGGGGTGGCTCAATAACTACATATAGTCGAAGTGTCACACTCACAAGCAAATTGTCTTGACTAGAAAAAAACTTATCAAGCTCCCATTTGTTCATTAGTGTTATGATTATCAGGATTATTATCCATTAATGAAATGGATAAAATTTTAACTAAACAAATTTTCTCTCTCTGAATATACGCGCAAATTGGCGAGTCTCAAAGCAAATTGGCGAATCTCAAAGTCAATAAATACCCAGACACAGATCATATAGGCAAAACGGAATCCCCGTAGGATTAGTAATCGTAGGTTCCCCTGTTCGATCCCCACCATCGGAAAAAATACGAAGGTTTTTTCAACGGTAATTACGCTATAACGCCGATAAAATAGGGAGCCTATAAAACCGTAACGGTACATAGTAGGAAGAAAATATCAATTTAAGGCCCGGGTGTACTATCTTTCGAATGTTATCTGGGTTTTTTTCATCTTTCGTAATCCAAAATTGTCAATTGAGTGGTACATCATGTAGAAATTCCCAAAAATTATGATAGAATGATAACAAAAACAGAAAAAATTCTAAACTTTTTCAAAGAGCCTTTTTTATTGAGATTGAGAATGAGTTGAAAAAAGTGGAAATTACAAATATCTGATTCGCTGTGGCAAATTATCTATTAGCTGTCATTTTCCATGGTGGATAACAAAACACTAACCCCTTAGTTAGTTAAACTAGATTATAATAATTTTTCATTATTATAATCTAGTTTAACATGTAGTTTTGTGCTGTTGGGTCTTTATGAAATAAAATTAAAAATGAAAATGAAATGAAACCCCTCATGGGAAGTGACAGCTAGGTATCTGCCATTTTTATGTGATAAAAGTGTGATTAAAAAATTCTCCAAAATATTACAACTTTTTCAAAGAGCTTTTTCCGTAATAAATGTCTCTGTGCAGTGTGGGAAAAGATTACGAATGCTTGCTATTGGGTGACAGGCCGGCATTTGTCACCATAAATCAGAAACGTTTTTCAATTTCCTGTTATTCAACTTAATCTGAAAATAAATTAAAAATGATCTTTGCAAAAATTAAGAATTTCTTCTACTTTTTTTTGATTATTCATTCATAATTTTTCAAAACTTCTGCATGATGCATGACTCAATTGACAATTTCAGATGACGAAAGATGAAAAAAAATATCGAGATAACGTTCGAAAGATAGTACACCCTGGCCTTAAAACAATAAAAAGGCTTGGTCAAGACACATTTCTGAAAATCTCATCGTGTTTATTCTCTTCAATTCCATAAATCTCACATTGACACCTCTAGGAACGAAACATCGACCCTCTCCAGCATAGAAAGATGTCTTACCATAAAAATAATCCCTTATTGCAATCATTCCCACAGCTGTACAAAATGCAGGTCCAAGCCATAATTCAATTGGACAATATCTTAGTTATCAAGCTTTCTCCTGTCGAAAGCTCTTCGGTTGTCTGTGACTCCTCTCGATATCAAGCTGCTTGAGTCGTGCGTACATAGCAGAGGCCCCAAGAATGATGAAATTGCTCGTCCACCAGAGCACCTGCTTGGATTCATTGAACCAATAGCTAGCTAGTACTGTTTGTGCACATGCCTTAGCAGTTCCACTGATGTTATGAGTCAACGGCGATGTCACCTGAATTTGCAAAGCAGTGGCATATCCAATGGCGAAGCCGCAAATTCCTCCGACTGTCATCGCAAGCCAGAAGTTCATGGTGTCTAGCTTATCATAGTTATAGATAACACTGTACTCGCCGTTGAGTAGCATCAGTGGGAGGAATAGAAATATACTGTAGGCATTATTGTAGTATGACAAGAGCCAGATCTCCTGATCAACTAGGGGCAGTATGCGCTTTGTGTAAATGGAGTAAAGGGAAAGACTCAGCGATCCCAAGACTCCATAGACAGTTCCGGCAGTGGATAGGGATCCTGCTATGTGCTCTTGATCCACACCCAACCAGAATCCTGCTACTATTACTGCGCAGCATGTTATGCAGCCGAAGGAAGTTTTCTGACCTGTGGTGGGCGCAAATTTATTCATAAAATAGGAAATTACCTACTAGTTAAGACAACAGCCTCTGTGGCATTCATGTTTTCTCTAGTTAAGACAACAGCCCCGGCATTCATGTTTTCTTTTATATTTTGTATACTGATTGTAACTCAAAATGCTGATACTATTACACAACAGGGTTCTTAGTATTTAAGGGATGGGAACAAAATGTAAAGACCCGAGAGGGTATACATGTGGCAAAATAAATAAAATAAAAATAGGAAATTTCTCAGAATCATCTGAAACGGAGATTTATTCAGTAGCGAAGGGGGTAAATCGGGTCAAGTCGATTTTATCATTGGAAATTTATAACTGGAATTTTTCATCCATCTCCAATAGAATTAAGGTGAAGCGAATTAGTAACAAGAATTGTTGGGAAGAGTGCTAGAATTTTTTGTCCAGTTTTCTTTGTAAATAATGGAATTTAATATTCCTCATGCTCACCAAGAATCAGGTACGTGAAAACGACATTGAATACTGTTGTCAATGACCTCCCAATGTAGTAAAAAGCGACACCAACATGTTGCAGGCATAAATTATTACTAGCTATCATCAGTGTGAATAAAATGGACAGTGGAAGAACCTGAAATTCGCAGTTGAATACAAAATTAATTTTTTTGGCTTTTTGGACTTGTCTTTCTTTGTTACACTCCACGACTCAACTCGAGCTTAATCATGCTGCTTTAAAGTAGTACAAACATAACTTGAATTTTGAATATTAAAATCTGAAATAAATTCTAAACGAAAGTTAATATGAATAGAATCATTTTGGTTGCGTTTGTGCTCAATCCGCAGTCTAGTATTATTGATAATAATTTATCTAGGAGTACAAAGAAATGAACTTTTCCAGTTTCCAGGTTCTAGATTAAAATCTAGAAGAAATTTCGAAAAATCAGAAAAAATAAACAAAAATTCTGGGCTCAATATGCAAATTATCGTCAGTGTCATACTTTTGTAATCAATAATGTACGTTTGTAACAAATGGTGTGTGACCCTAGAGTGACTATTGTTCAAAAAAATGATTGAAGGAAATTGATGGATCAATTTCTTATACTCATCAAAGTTAGAATTCATGGAAAAAATTATCAATAATAAATCTTGTTTTTGGCTTTGTGGATTTACTTTTCCTTGTTACTTAACGACTCAAATGGAGAAAACCATCCTATTTTAAACCGTTTCAGCACTTCACAACTGAATTATCAGTCAATCAATTCAATTGCAATGGGAGGAAATAATTATGCCATACCTTCCTTATGTTATCTTTGGTATAAGGATTTCCATTCGGAAATGAAATAGTCTTCGGGAATGCTCTCGCCAATTTGTTGAGAGAAAAACATATTAATGTGCTGACAACACATTGGAACCACGTTACAAATAGTGGGGCATTCAAATTTATCGTTTTACTCGACAGTAAAGCTTTATTCACGAATACTGTTACTATCGAGATGACCCTGCAAACAAAATTGAATGTTAAATATACAAAATGAGTTCTCGATGTTATGATTTTTTGCTCAAATTTTTCAAATTTCAACGCAATTCACCAAAAATTAATAAAAAGTTCAATAAAATTATTTGACGAATTTTCTAGAGTTTTTAATTAATTTTTTTCATATGTGGTATGCCGAAACTATTTTATACAAAGAATCCGTAGAATTTCATCTTTCTGTTGAGATATTTTCTATAGAAATTTCCAAACAAGAATTTCGCAAATTTTTTCAACTCTATTTTTCTTCTTTTCAACTAAAAAAAAAACTTATAAAATAGGGGTAGGGTGGGGTAAAACGGACACTCTAGGCTTTTTTAAAATTATTCATAGCTCAGAAACAAATTGATCAATTGAGCTCACTTTAGGCTCGTCACAAAGGGGAAGAATCGTTTTTTGTAATGAAAAAAAAATTATTAAATTTTATCAACATTTCAACCCCTCATTAATATTTTTAAAAAAGTCAAAATTGTCCGTTTTACCCCAACCTCCCCTATACACGCGTAATATTATTGAACGGTGAAATAATCATTAAAATTTTTACTTTATTTATAGAATATCCAATGCAAGTTGGAATCGTCCAGAAGCTAACTCCCGCCCAGAAATTGACATGTTAACCCTATCTTCATTTTCAAAAAAATATTGTCATTGGACAAAATTAGGGGAGGGTGGGGTAAAATGGACACTTTTGACTTTTTTTGAGATGTTCATGCCGTGTTAAAGTGCACCAGCTCAACAGACTGAGCTCAACTGACAGATCTGTTTCTGAGTTATGAATATTTAAACAAAAATCAAGTGTCCATTTTACCCCATCCTCCCCTAATTGACCTCGCGCATAATCCGTGAATCCTACCATCGCCCTATTTCCCCCCAACAATTGTTTGGTTTTGCTCACCAGTACGTGCTGACAACCAACGCTATCTTGATGTACTTCGGCAAAAGTCTTTCCTCGAAAGCCATCCTCGAATAGTCATCAATGCTCCGTACTGTCTCAGCTCGCCCATTAAACTCCTCTTTCTTCATTTTTCAATCGAAAAAATTGATGACGAAGAAACTCAGGTTACGGACCATCATCAATGGAATCGATCACATGTGGCCCACAGCTGATCACACACTATTCTCTCCCCACGTTTCCCAGAATCCAGAATTTCCCACCGAAGACGGGTCGATCAGCCCCCGCATTATCAATCCCAGAAGCTAAGGAAATCCACAGCCTTCAATGAATCTCATCAGGTGTTGTTCTTTAGAAAAATGTTGATAAGTAGGTTGACACCTCTGAGATGGCCAGTGGCCACAGCTGGTCTCCTCGCATTTGCTCGTAACTCAAGCCCGAATGCCATTGGTTGAGAGACTCCACCCTCTACTCTAGGGAAGCTCTCCCCCCACCCTCGAACATTTGGCAGGAATGTCTAGCAAATAGAGATGCAAATGCGTCACTGACCCGTCATTGACGGTCACATGACGAGGCGGTCATGACGGCTGTCACTTCCCCCTCGCCCTTCTGTGACCGTCACAACTTGTCAAGAAAAAATGACAGTCATTTTTCATCTATATAGATGAAACTTTATTTTTTTCTCGGTCAATTTTCAGTTGAATTCCTTTTGTATTGGCCCAATCCGCATTTTGAAATGGAAATCACGATTTTTTTCCATCCATATAGATGAAACTATTTTGTTTTATTCATGACCGTCACAAATTGGAAATTAGTTATGACCGTCATTATGCAACTATGTAGATGGTTTGACAACAATTTGGTTACAAATGATTTGTGACAATCATTTGTAGTTGGAAAATTGTGCGTCACATGACCGTCACAAGACCGTCATTTTTTGGTCATATGACGTGATCTAAAAACTGACGGTCATTTTGCATCTCTACTAGCAAAACACAATGCAAGCCATCCGGAACAATTTTGCACTCTTACATTCCGTGATTTCATGATTCTTTGTGTTGAATGGTCACTAAAAATTCTAAGATCTCCGAAAATTAATGAGAACATCAGGAAAATAGTGGTTTCATTGGTTTATCAGGTTATGTGCACCCCATCCCCACCATCACCACCACAATATGGCCTCTTCAGACTTTTGGCGAAGGGGTGGAGTCTCCAAACATTACGTCCTGCGCAATGCTGCGCGAGACACATAAGTGAGGGCCAGTAGTTCTGCCCGTTCTACCCCGATCCAATCACCAATAAAAAAGAAAACAAGTTTTCTGAGTTGTTTTTGATACCGGATGGCTCTCAGAGGATATTAATTTTCTTCATCGGTTTGTAACGGGTATGTATGGAATACATATTTAGTTATGAACATGTACAGATATTTCTAACCTATAATATATTTCCACGGAATCGAATGCAGTGATTTATCGTATATTCTCTTTGGGATCAGTGGAGGATGGAGCGGTTTTATATTTTGGAACTACTGTTTTCAATCATTTCTATTTTGAGAATCGATTTTGCGAGTCAAAGTAATTTATCACTTTAATTCAATCTGGGTTAGGGTCGAAGGGGGTAAAATGGACAATTTTTCATCATTGATAACTGGAAATTGCCAGAGTCAACTTAGATATTTTTTTTTTCATTCACAAGGTATTTTTCTATGCTTTGAAATGAGATCTGACTCATTAAAATCGCATCATTCAGTTGGGAAATATTGATGATTGAAAAAAATCATTCATTTCCCGGTTTCAAACTTTCGAACAGGCAAATAAAATTAACTGTTGTAATCTTCAAGAACTCGAGATTGGCAGAGTAAATTTGGATGATTTTTTTTCGTGTTCAAAGTATTTTTTTAAGCTTTAAAATGAGAGCTGACTCATTGAAATCGCATCATTGGGTTGGGAAATATTATTAATTGAAAAAGATTCATTTTATTTCACCGTTCGAAGAAGGAAGCGGAATGATTTAGTTTCAATCTCTAATAAGTCCAGATCAGCAGAGTGAAATTGGAGGATTTTTTGTTCATTAAAAAAATGTCCTTTCAAGCTTTAAAATGAGATCTGACTCACCCAAATTGAATCATTCGTTTAGGCGCTAGGGGAGGTTGGGGTAAAACGGACACTTGACTTTTTTTAAAATGTTAATGCGGGTTTGAAATGTTGATAAAATTTAATAATTTTTTCTTTCAATACAAAGAACAACTCTTCCCCTTTGTGACGAGCCTAAACCTAGCTCAATTGATAAATTTGTTTCTGAGTTATTAATAATTGAAAAAAAGTCTAAAGTGTCCATTTTACCCCACCCACCCCTATTGATAATTTAAGAAGTTTCATCTTATTACAAAAAAGTACATGCACCCATTCTTTCAGGAAGAGGGTAAAGAATCGATGAATTGCGCATTCGATTTTGTTAGAATCCACATCAAATAATTACAAATTCCGGAAACTTGGAAAAGTCGATTGATAATTATTTCCATCAGCCGACGACTTGCAAATTTCACTTGGGTCTCCTTAGAGACTCATTTCTTCTCGTGCTTCATTTTGCCCCGTTCTCCCCTAACAAATGCTTTCAGGCGAAAATCACGAGACCCTCATTCACCGCCTCAAATCACCGAAGAGAACGTAAATCACCAAAATGTCGAGTCTGATCCGTTTGGGTGCAGCTTCAGCCCTGAAGCGAGGTCTAGCAAGACCCCTTCAGCGCCCAAAGCAGCTAGTGAAAAGGCCCATCAACACTTCCTCGAAGCCACCCCAGGCTAGTCACTCCACCCCAGCTACAACTGTTGGGGAGGCACCAGTCGAACAGTCCAAGAATTGGGTAAGTTGGGGATTCAGCGAGGAGAACGAGTACATAGACAGACTAGCCGCTCACATGACATTCTTCACGACAGTCTCAATCTGTCTGGTCCTCGGTGGAACCCTAATCGCTTACGCTCCAGATCCAAAACTCCGAGAATGGTCGCAACGTGAGGCATACCTCCAGCTTCGTTACAAGGAGGAACATGGACTTCCGCCCATCAGCCGCAATTACGTGGATCCAGCAAAACTCTACCTGCCAAGTGACGAAGAGTTGGGAGACACTGAGATCATCATCTGAAGGGATTTATTGTATTTGGGATATTATTAGTTTGTTTGTAAAAAATGAGACGTTTTATTAATGGTTTCATTGGTTGTTGGGGGCAATGATCATGAAATAAAATCTTTCTGCTGTGTATGTTTCATTTTTTTTCCATAATTTATCTAAATAGTTCAATTCAAAATGAACTGAAGTCGTCAGGAAGAGTAAAAGCGATTCCACGTCAAATCAGCAGTCGAAGAAAATCGATGTTGGCGACTGTGCTCTTGATTTTTTTGTGTTCTCTATCATTAGATAAAGTTCCCATTAAATTCTCAACTCGAAAAAAAAATTATTTGATTGAGTTGATTTTCGGAAAATTTCGTGCTCTTTTCGCTTGTGAAAAAAACCGTTTCATTTCCATTGATAACTACTGGTTTCATGTGTACTAGAATTTCGGTTTGAGCAATTGGAAGCATAGTAAAAAAACCTTCAAAATGAGCCCAACTAAACTTCATTTCATGCATTTTTAAGGTCGTAATCGTGAAAACATTTTTTCATCACACTGTAAAAGTCCACTTTCCGGCACATTGTGATGAAAAATATTGTTCGTAACTCGTGAAAAAATGTTTTTTGGCTCGTGGGATAATATCACTCGCCTTCGGCTCGTGATATAAACCTCCCACTCGTCAAAAAACACTTTTTTGCACTCGTTACGAAATATACTATTGTTAGCTAAACGAGAATTGCTCCGAAATTTCATTTTTTTCAATCTTAAAATTTTACACAATATTTGTACCATAAAGATCTACATTTCTGTAGAATCTCAATCAGTTCTTTCCCATAGTTTTTCAATTATCGCAAAATGAAATTCTTTTGTTGTCAAAAAATAATGAGACGTTTTATGAATAATATCATTGTTTATTGGAGACAATGATCATGTTATAAATTCTTTCTGCCGCGTATATTTCATTTTTTTTGTTTACAAACTCCCACAGGATAGGTATCTCAGGCGCAAACACGGTTGTTTATATTTACATACTGATTATTGCTAGTGGAAAAGATGCACTGACAAATTATTGAAATAGACAGGAGAATGGGGTATGCAGGAGTGTACATGTACCAGAAGGGCTCAATTTTCCATCGAAATGAGGATTTTCGGAATTTGTGATGTCATTCAATCATACAATTCACTAGTCAAAAGAGGGCAGATGAAACAACACAACAGAATAGAATGAGTCTATTTTTTTAATATTCTGTTAAATATAAGAATGTAAAATACAAAAACAAAATTGAACAAAAGATATTTTGTTTAATGTTCTTTCACCCAAACTAAAGGTCTGTAGACAAGCTCTTCGGAAAGCACTTGATAAAAAATTAACGAATATTCAATAAAAGTGGAAAATTTCCTAGAGAATTCCATCGTTACATGTTAGGAAATACTGAATACCTCGACTATTCTTTATTATTCTGTTGAAAACTGGCCCTCTCATGGTATACATACACCCTTGCATATAAAATACATAGCATTTTCTTCATATTCACTGTTGAAAGTTTCTGACTGGAGTTCCCAATTTGAAATTTTTGGAATTCACTTCGAGAAATCTTTCCTAATTCAAATTTCATCAGTTGCACAAAATTCTCCTTCACATTTTGCCCCGAAATCCCTCATCAGAATAATTCAGTGGTGGAAAATGGCGCAAAACGGAGACATTTGACTTCTTTTTGAAATGTTCATTACTCATTCATTTTTCCAATAATATTTCTTTACGCAAAAAACAATTCTTCCTCTTTGTAATGAGTCTACACTGAGCTCAATTGACAAATTCGTCTCTGAGTCATGAACATGAAAAAAACTCAAGCGTCCATTCTGCCCCACCCTCCCCTGATCTAGAAATGCTCAAACATGAGGAAAATTTCCCTTTTTAATTGGATAAGTATTTTGAAGGGAACTGACTCTAGAAAAAAAACACACCTCTTTAAAATAAAAAAAATTCTGCAGAAAAACCTCTCGTCATTTTCTCTCAGAATTTCTCATTAGATTAATAGTTTTACATTCAACAGTGTTCGATTCAGAACAAAATAAAATTCGTTCTATTCTACTCCTCCACAACCCAACCATCAATCAGAAGATCCAGTCAGAAACTTTCACAGTGATTAAATAATAAATTTAAACTCCAGTGAAATTAGTTGCTCCTCATACCGATGCTGAAGGTGATAAATTAACATTAGTGCTAGTGGTGAGGGGCTTTTGGTCTATGAGAGAGGGGTGAAACGGTGGTGACTGCGGTAGACTGGCGCTCACCGTCAGGGGGGGCATCCCAGGGAGATTCAGGGGGGTGGTCACAACCTGAGGAGAGGACATGGGTGGAACTATTGGATTTGGTGGAGGTACGGGGTTCATCAGGGGCTGCAGAGGTGGCATTGATTCAACAGCCACTGGTGGCATTCCTGGTATCAAGGGAGTCTCCTGGGGAGCCGTCACTTGTCCAAAGCCTGGAAAAAAAACATCAATCGTCATTATTTCCATCTTTACCTTTATTTTCTTACGTTAAGGAAATAGCGGGGGACAATATTATTAGAATTTCGAATAAATAATTAATATGGAGGATTTATCAACAGCAGAAAATGAAATATTATATAAATTGTTTTTTTGCTTTGTAGTTACTAAAATTTAAGTTTCCAATTTTTTGTGTTGGGTAAAAGAAATTCAATTTGAAATGACATCTATTTCTAATTCATAAAATATTGGAAATAAAATAGTAAAACAGCGTTATAAATTCTGAAAGATTCACTGTGTGAAATACTTGATGGAAATTTCTGAAAATAACTGGATCCCATTAATTCAAATAAATAATGAAATTCAATTCAATGTAATGTAAGTAGTAAAAGGGGCCTTTGTTGTGATAACAAAATTTTTCCATTTCTCATTCACTACAATAGTTCAATAATTAAATAAAGTAGAAAGTACCATTTCATTTTAGTTCAGAAACATAATTCAGTAAAAGCAATCCAGTAAACCAAAATAAACAACCGAAAATAATAATCTCAAATAGTATTTCGTGACTTTACTACTTCAGTATTGTTATAAAAAAATAAGAAAAAAATGGGTTTTATTTTTGTTATTGATCAAAAAGCGATTCAACTCAATCGATCAAGAATTGCCGCCATGAGGGCACTTGGAGATTCTATTAATAAAAATTCTTGACCTCATTTTTTCTCATTTTTTACATAAAAACTGAGGTAGTAAACTCATCACGGTAAATAAAGGCCTCTGTGATGATGGCATTTCCACTTGATTTTCGTGAAATAATCCCCAGCTCTGATTAAATATAAAACTTTACTTGGGTGAGAACTATTGGATTGCGCGAAGTAGTGCCCAGGGGACGCCATCACTGTAGTAGTCGACGCTCCAATAAGTTTAGGATCGACATCGACTCCTGGTGGGGCAGGAGGTACTGACGGCGGCAAAGAATACGACGAGGAAATAGTGACTTTTGATGCGCCTGATCCTTGCGGGTCAGCGGGTAGTCCTGACGAGACGTAGTTCGGTGGAATTGTGAATCCTGGAGGTATCGCTGTCACGACAGGATTCGGTGGTGATGCCGGAGTCGAAGGCATAATTGGGACTGTGTACTGCGCTGGGGGCGGTTGAGCAGCGACCGGAATCTTCGCCATGTTCGGCTGGAATGTAAATGTTGGATTCTTTTATTTTAGAAAAATTTTAGGGGAACTGTCGGGAATGATTAAATTGCTAAAGTTGAAGATATTTGAAATAATTGAAGATTAATTCTATTCAAACATTGATTGAAATTATGAATATCAAACGACATACAGAGATTAATTTTATTTCAAAATTGATTAAGATTATAAAAAATTGAGAAATCCAAAATTTTTGAAAAGGGTTCCAAAATTATTTGAAACATTAAACAAAAAATTCAAAAATTGTTTCAAATTTATTGATGAATTATTCCTTTTTTATTTTTATTTTTAAAAAATGCACCGAATTTGTCACAAATTATTAAATTATTAAATCGAAAGTATTTGAAATAATTGAGGCTCAATTCTATTCAGAAATTGATTGATGAATTTTCCATTTTATAAAAATCGTAGCAGAAAAATAATAAACGATCAAACCACTAAAATTGAAAATATTTGAAATAATTTAATATCAATTGTTAAATCTTCGGAATTTTCACGTTCTCAGTGATGATTCTCACTAAATGGAACTGCATATTTCATCAACAAATGAATATTCATGTTGAATTGTTAAGAAGATGAGAAATTCATCTTGCAATTCCAGGGGTTTATGCCAATTTCACGAGAAAAATGTAGTTATATTTATTAATAATTATTTTCAAAAACCAATTGAAATTAATTAAGCTTATAAAATAGTAAGGAATAAAAACCATCAAAAAATAGAAAATCGTTCGAAAAACTTAAAAAAAATCCTAGGAGAGCAGTTACGAATGATCAAACACTAGAATGAAAAGTATTTGTGAGCTCAAATAATTTAAAATAGTAAAAACGTTTCAAAACTGTTCCAATCCGTTGATAAAAAAATTAAAAACAAAATTAATTAAGACTCTACTTGAGAAATAAACAGGAGTGAATTCATCAGACACTGAAATAATCATAAATATTAATAGAACAATTTTCTTTGGAAACCAATTCATGAAATGTATAATTATCCAAGAAATTAAAACCCTCAAAAAGTTGAAAAATTCCAAAATCTAGAGAAATTTCTTTCCCTACCTGATTATATGAATGATTATGACTCGGTTTATTCTCAGGAGCACTTCTCACAGGTATTCTATGCAGATATCCATACCCAATACCACAGCCAAGGCTTCCCTCCCCTCCCCACCTGGTGTTGGGAGTGATGGTCACCTCTCGACACGAATCATCAGTTGTATTATAAACATAAAGTTTCAGTGGTCTAGATTCGTGTGCCTCGATCAAGGTGAAGAGATCCTCGCTCTCGTGTAGGGCAGAGTCAGCTCCGATAATGTAATCAGTGAAGGGTTTCAGACCAGCCAGCTCAGCTGGGGACGACGGATGGACCTCGAGGACGTGCCAGACGTTCTCGTTAGCTCCCTCGAAGGAGCAGAACCTTATGCTGACACCTAGCAATCCGTGCCCACCCCACGTCATACTTGGAACAATTGTCGTTTGTCTGATGGACTGGGTTTTACTGTTGTAGACAGTCACTAGGAGCTCCTTGTCGACATTCGTTTTCAGGATTTCTTTGAGGGTGTCGTTGTCTTGATCCTGGGGAAGGATCACTCGGATTATTAAAGTGGTATGAATAAACTCCAGTTGAGTCGTTGATGATAACGAGGAAGAATAAATTCAAAAAGCAAAAAAAAATTGTTCATCATCATTGATAATTTCTCCTTTGATCCGAAGACAGATTTTATCCACTTTTAAAAAATCCAGTGTAACGATTTCTGAAGCCTCTATTGCGCTTATCAAGTAATGTAATATCATGTCTATGTATATTTTTTTATGTAGTGTAATTTATTTAACAATTGAAAAAATTAAATACTGTTATGTACTATAAAAAAATGCATACACGTATAGTATATATATTATATTTTATAGAAAATATAATATATATACTATATTTTGCGGCTGGCCTCGAGACCAGCTGCAGTTAGTAAACAATAATAAAATAATTTTATCAAGTAAACAAATGTTTCTCCGATCTAAATTAAGACAGACGTTATTATTAACAAATGAAATCATTGTTCAGACATAGAGAACGAATTTATTAACACGAAATGATCGTTCATTTCGTTTCAATTCGTTTCATCCTCAATTGTGCAATTACTCTCCACTCAAATAATGAAAAAAAATGTCAAAAGGTTTTTGTCTCAGCTGACGAGAGTCTCCACAAAAAATATCTTCTGACATTTTCCCCTGACCCACTGACTCCAGAAATACTTCCACATTTCATCAGCCAGATGTCAAACACCCAACTGCTTCTTCATTCTGTCACACTCAACAACTCCTACATCAAAACAATGGGGAACACTCAAACGATAAGAAGAATAACTGAATTAGTGGAAAAATGGGATAATTACTAATCTGGTGTTCCCAATAGACACGATGAAGTCGAAAAAGGCCTCCAGACCAGCTTGTTGGCCAGGTGAGCCCTCCTGCACCTGTCGATTTCGAATTAATCCATTAATTTTTTCATTTCTCAGTTTATTTCCAATTCCCATCATTTAATATGGTTTAATGCGAATTAATTAAGTACCCTGAGGACGTGGTAACCCTCCGTACCGCCACCAGGTATCTCGAGACTCTGTGATGATCCCATTGTTTCAGACAAATGTAATTAACCTCACAAGGCACTGATCAGTTTTTTTATCGCTTGATCTTCATTAAAGGCAACGATATTGTTATGCTGTCGGTGAATTACGTGGCAATCTTCGGAAATCTGTTGAGTTATCGGAGTAAATGACAAGTTGTGTGATTGTGTGGGCACATGCACGAGGAACGATGACGTCCCGTAATCGGTTGGACTGGAGGAACGGAATAGGGGAACGGATGTCGCTTTGACGACGGACCACATCCCTAATTCGATTCAATGCCGATTATTGGAGGACACTGGTGAATTATCGGGGGATGCTCGTGGATTTCGGGGGAATTACAACAGAATCATATCGAATTTCTAGGATTTTTTTATGAGAAACCTTTTTAAAAAGTAATAAATGTAATAAGTTTAGGAAGAAATATTTTAAAAAATATTGTGACATTTTACTGAAAAGAATTATTATTTCAAATAATTGGTTTTTCAGTTTTTCATATTTTTTTATTGAACATTATTTACTACTATTACAGGTATAGGGGAGGTTGGGGTAAAACGGACACTTTTGATTTTTTTTTAATGTCAATGAGGGGTTGAAATGTTGATAAAATTTAATAATTTTTTTTTTCAATACTAAGAACAATTTATTCCCTTTGTGACGAGCCTAAATTGAGCACAATTGATCAATTTGTTTCTGAGTTATGAATAATTTTTAAAAAGTCTAAAGTGTCCGTTTTACCTCACCCTCCCCTACCCTCAGTCTCGAAGAATCAGAATTAATTAATTTTCAGCATTTCATTTTTTGCTTTTAAATGGAAACATTATATTCATCAAATCTGAAATTTCCTATTTTTTTTGTCTATGCCTGAATGTATGGGTATGTGTGACCGATCGTTTTTCAATGATGTTTGAAAAAATAATTATTTAAATGAATCCAATTGATTTAAAATATTCTTCTCAATGTTGTCTTGACCAAATTCGATCATGAAATTGATTGCATCATCTGCTGTAAAAATTCATTTTGAAACCAATATTCAGGGAAAGGTAAAAAATTTTAACGTTGGGGTAATGTTGACTGTCGACGTTGAGGTGATGTTGACTGCCAACGTTGGGGTAATTTTGGCTGTCAACATTGGGGCAATGGTAGCTACCGACATTCATCTGTTACTGGAAAAAATTATTTTTAAACTAATGTTCAGGAAAAGGTAAAAAAAATTTACGTTAGGGCAATGTTGGCTACCAACGGTGGGTCAAATTAAATTCAATGGATCATTGAATTTAATTTGAAATACATCGTCATAGAAATTCTATTCACAAGCAAATTGTTAATTTATTAGCAAAAATATGTTGACATGTTGTGACCAAAGTAACTTCCCACTTTTTTCCATATATTTTATTTCTGTAAAAATGATGGTATTTGGTACAATAATTATAGTGCGTGTGTAATTCATAAAAAGAGCTCGGAAGCAACTCCTCCACACATTTGCAAAATTCTAAACTTCATCTTGTTAAAAAAAATGATTCGCATTAATGACTTGAAATTACTATAAAATTAGAAATAATCACTTCCCCCATTAATAAAAAAAGTCACTATTGTCTGAATACTTGTGTTCAGTGTGAAAATCCTCAATATGCGTGAAAGCTCAGCGCCTGCCTCATTCCCATGCACTCCACCTCGTCGATCTTCAAAGTATTAGTTTTGATGTTTATGTCTTCCTCCACCTGAATCTGAGTCTTCAGCAAATACCGCAAGATCGATTCAGTCTGGAACAGATAATTGTCCGTGACATTTATTAGGCAAGGGCATTATTTTTACTCAAGGGGAGACTGAATGGGGTAAAATGGACACTTTAGACTTTGCTTTAATTACTCATAACTCAGAAACAAATTCATCAGTTGAGCTCAGTTTAAGCTCATCACAAAGGGAATGAATTGTTGGGAAAATTTACCCGGGAGATTTTGTCCGGGGAAAACTGTCCTAGAATCTTATTGAATACTTCTCTCCGTGTACAATAGAATTTCAATAAAAAGTCTATAGAACTTTCGGATGAATGTGAATGTGTTCTCCATTGAAAGCTTTCCTCCTCACGGTTTTGTGACGTTTTATTAGGTACGGGCATTATTTTTACTCACGGGGAGACTGAATGGGGTAAAATGGACACTTTAGACTTTGCTTTAATTACTCATAACTCAGAAACAAATTCATCAGTTGAGCTCAGTTTAAGCTCATCACAAAGGGAATGAATTGTTGGGAAAATTTACCCGGGAGATTTTGTCCGGGGAAAACTGTCCTAGAATCTTATTGAATACTTCTCTCCGTGTACAATAGAATTTCAATAAAAAGTCTATAGAACTTTCGGATGAATGTGAATGTGTTTTCCATTGAAAGCTTTCCTCCTCACGGTTTTGTGACGTTCTATCACTTGTCTTCGAACTACAAAATCCTGGAAATATTACCTCGCACAGTGTTTGCTGTAACTTAGTCACAGAATCACCGAGGTCTGCGCATTCAGACACGAGCTGTCTTTCGACTGCATCACCTGTCATCTCCAAATTCGGTCGCCGACACCTGTTGCCCAATCGTGTATGGGTCAACGCAATGAAGCCCTCTTTCTCGGCGATCGTTTTCTCCAGTCGAGCGATATTCAGCGTCATGTCATTCGCTTTTTCAATTATCTGCAGATTTCCAACGGTTAACATAGGGGCAAAATGGATAGTTGACCTCTTGTTTTAGCTTCCGAATGAAAGCTTTGTAATTATTCAAATTTAAGGCCCGGGTGTACCATCTTTCGAATGTTATCTGGATTTTTTTTATCTTTCGTAATCCAAAATTGTCAATTGAGTGGTACATCATGTAGAAATTCCCAAAAATTGTGATAGAATGATTAAAAAAAATAGAAAAAATTCTGAACTTTTTCAAAGCGTTTCTTAATTCTGAGCGTTCTTAATTAAGATTTAGAATGAGTTGAAAAAAGTGGAAATTACAAATATTTGATTCGCTGTGGCAAATTGTCTATTACCTGTCATTTTCCAAAATTGTCCAAAATTGTCAATTGAGTAGTAGATCATGTAGAAATTCCCAAAAATTGTGATAGAATGATAAAAAAAATAGAAAAAATTCTGAACTTTTTCAAAGAGCGTTCTTAATTGAGATTTAGAATGAGTTGAAAAAAGTGGAAATTACAAATATTTGATTCGCTGTGGCAAATTGTCTATTACCTGTCATTTTCCAAAATTGTCCAAAATTGTCAATTGAGTAGTAGATCATGTAGAAATTCCCAAAAATTGTGACAGAATGATAAAAAAAATAGAAAAAATTCTGAACTTTTTCAAAGAGCGTTCTTAATTGAGATTTAGAATGAGTTGAAAAAAGTGGAAATTACAAATATTTGATTCGCTGTGGCAAATTGTGTATTACCTGTCATTTTTCAAAATTGTCCAAAATTATCAATTGAGTAGTACATCATGTAGAAATTCCCAAAAATTGTGATAGAATGATAAAAAAAATAGAAAAAATTCTGAACTTTTTCAAAACGAGTTCTTAATTGAGATTTAGAATGAGTTGAAAAAAGTGGAAATTACAAATATCTGATTCGCTGTGGCAAATTATCTATTAGCTGTCATTTTTCAAAATTGTCCAAAATTGTCAATTGAGTAGTAGATCATGTAGAAATTCCCAAAAATTGTGACAGAATGATTAAAAAAATAGAAAAAATTCGGAACTTTTTCAAAGAGCGTTCTTAATTAAGATTTAGAATGAGTTGAAAAAAGTGGAAATTACAAATATCTGATTCGCTGTGGCTAATTATCTATTAGCTGTCATTTTCCATGGTGGATAACAAAACACCAACTCCTCATGGGAAGTGACAGCTAGGTATCTCAATTTTCAAAACAGTGGTATGTAGTCATCGGCCATTTTTATGTGATAAAAGTGTGATTAAAAAATTCTCCAAAATATTACAATTTTTTCATAGCGCCTTTTCTGTAATAAATGTCTCTGTGCAGTGTGGGAAAAGATTTACGAAATCAGTCTTCCCCAAATATAAATTAAAAATGCTCTTTGAAAAAATTAAGAATTTTTTCTACTTTTTTATATTATTCATTCATAATTTTTCAAAACTTCTGCATGATGCAGGACTTAATTGACATTTTCAGATGACGAAAGATGAAAAACAACATCGAGGTCACGTTCGAAAGATAGTACACCCGGGCCTTTTCATAAATTAATTTTTAGGAATTTTGATTTTATATCTTCTACATGTGGTGCATGAATATTCGAGTATACCTTGGAATGCTGCGACTCAAGTTCCATCTTAGCTTCTTTGGTCTCCCGGATTCGCTGTTGGAATGCGTCATTGGTAGAATTTATTTGCTCGTTCAGATCATTCATGATCTCTTGGAGGATCGTGTCAATGTAATTCCTCAATAATTTACTGCTATTCAGCTCTTTTTTTGCATTGGTGATGATTTCATTCGATAGAATTTCCCATTCTTGCACAGTAAGAGTACTATATTCACAAACAGATCAATGAATGATTATGAAATGTCATTTTAATTGAATTATTGGCGAAGCTAGTGGAGTCATTAATCGAAATGCCCAAATATTATATTTTTATCGATTGAATAAATTATACGAAAATTCAGTTCTTTCTCCAATTTTTAAACAGTCAAAAATTATAAAAATGGTCAATAGAAAAAAACATATCAATTTTTTTATATAAATCTAATTTAATTTTTTTTAATATAAATCTAATCCGTTGAAAAAATTTTATAGAAATTTTTCTGCATGAATTTAACGCGTTTTCCTTACAGTATTTCACGCGCGGACAAGTTTAATAGAAGAAACCTAACGAATTCGCTGGAAAAGTCCATTAGTTTTCGACCGATTCTATTGAAAACTTCCGCAGATTATCTGAGCGTTTTCTTCCATAGAAATGTTTAGAGGAGAATATTCTCTAGAAAAAAATTAGTAGAATTTTATTGTTTTATATCATTTTTTCTATTGATATATTTTCCACATCCATCCTTTGGGTATAATTTTCTAAGTTTTTTATTTGATGTTTTTAATGGAAAGAGAAGAAAAATAGAATGAAAACAAATGACAAAACTCATGTCAAGAAATTCCTATTGAAAATGCTTCAACAGAAGAGACTATATAAAAAGATGAATTCTCACTCATTTTTCTCTATAAAAATAGCTTCACATTTTACAGTTGGACATTTTCTATAGAAAAGAACGCGTAGTAAAGCTGCAGAATTTTCCAGTAACGGGTCATTTTATGGAAATTTTATATAACATTTGAAACGTGAGAAAATTCTATTGGATTTCTATTGAACATCTATTCAAAATTCTATCAGCATCCATTGAAATTCTACTAAATTCTCCAGTTTATTCGCGGATTTTTTTTTAGTAGAAATGTTTGATGAAAAAAATTTTGTAGAAAAAATCGATACAATTGTCCTATACAACTTAGTCTATTGAGATATTTTCTATACCAATTCCTCGGCTCCAATTTTCCCAAATTATTTTGTTTAATTTTTTAAAAAGAGGAGAAAAATAAAGTGGGAGAGAATTGAAAGCGCTATCAAATTTCGTAGCGAATTCATTGCGGTTTTCTATGCATTTTTTATGAAAAATTGAAGGAAAAATACAAAAAAAAAATGAACAGAAGAAGTTTCATGAAAAAATAACAATCCATTGGTTTTTCTCTGTGGATCCATTGACCTTTTCTATAGCGCAATAGTCAATATAAATGAACATCAAATCAACCTAATTTCCAATAGAATGTTCTAAAACACAAATCTCGATATCAATTTTTGTAAAAAAAAATTAAAAATCGGTCAATTTTTCATCAGTGAAAACGATTTTAAGAGAAAACATCAGATCTTGTTTACAGATCAGAAAATATCTTTCGGCATTTTTTACCTCGAGCTTAAAAAAATATTAAAAACTGAAAATATTGTAATTACGATGAATCGAGTGACGATGCGCCATGATAAATCGCGAGGTTCATGCTGGTCTCTTTGAGATTCAAATTCTCCCTTTCGATGACAAAATTTTCGTGCTTGTCCTGGAGATTGCGATCGATGGAGTACAACACAGACTTCAAAGCTCGAATTTGCTCTGCGGTCTGTTCCAACGATCGAACGAATGTCGTCTCTGCACCGTGGATTACTCCGTGCTCCATCCGCAGCTGTTTGTCGACATCGTCCACTGTCAAATCGATACCTCGACGATGTTCTCTATCAGTGAAATCAGTGGAATGCACTTTGAATGAAACAGTTGAGGGGAAAAATTGACAAAAAAATTACTTTTATACAAAAAACGTTACGAATTCGCTAGAAAATTCTATTGAATTTTCTATTAGTTCTTTGCCGATTCGATACAGAAATTCCGCAGCTTTTCTGCGTGTTTTTTTCAATATAAATGTTCAATGGACGATATTCTATATAAAAAATTAATAGAAATCGATTTTTCGATGCAACTTATTCTGTTAAGATCTGCTTAAATTTTCTAATTTTTTGCTGGATTTTTTTATGACGGAAAGAGAAGAAAAATAGAATGAAAAACCTTAGAAAATTTGAATCGAGGAAATTCTATAGAAAATATATCAATAGAATAAGTTATAATAGATAGAGAAATGGAATTCCATGGACTTTCTCGATAAAATACTTTCTGTTGAACATTTCAATAGAATCGGCCAAAAACTGGTAGAAAGTTCAATAGGAGTCTAATAGAATTGTGTATCGAATTCGCTTGGTTTTTCTGTTAGATTTTCCTTGTGCGTGCAGTAATCGCTCATTTTTTCAGATAATTACATAATTGGGTTTCATCTCCAGTTCATACCACATATTTGTAAATGAAAAATACAATTTTCTCCGCAAAAACTCAACACTTGAAGCAGCAAAATATAATATAATGCATGAAAAAATTGCACGAAAAATTCTGTTGAATTTCTATCCTACAATCCAATAGAATTGTCTAGCGAATTCACAATTCTATTAATTTTTTCCACCAGTGAGGAAGACAACGTCAAAAGATTCCCTTTAAATCCGGAGAATTTTCTCGGAATATCTCTTGAAATTCTCCCTAGAAATTCCTTATTATTGAGGTGATCACATTTGCAACAAAATAGGAATAATCGACTCGGCGGATGAAGGGCATCCCCATTATGTTCAATTAACGTGAAGGATTCGAGTGAAAAAAATACCTTGAAATGAGACACCTTTCACAAATAACAGCGGCATTCCTCCTCACTGACGACAATGCATCGGTGAGCCGAGCCTTATACGTCAGGAGGCTATCGATCTCGAGAACAATCATCTTGCGAGCTCTCAAGAGCTCATCCCTGCAGAATTTGATATTCTCGCTCTGTTCCTCCAGTTCACGATCTGTGGCGAATTTATTGTTCTTTGTTTTCTCTAGGGTCATATCACAAATACGACGGGACTCATCGATTATACTCTCCACTAATTCGCAGTGGGTTGTGCATGCTCTGTGCCTGAATTTTTGAAATTAATCATTTTTAATTTCAGAGGACAAAAGGGTATTCCCTTTTGTCCTTCTCTGTAGACTTCAGTAGACATTTCAGGAATTTCATGAATTCATTTCATCATTTTTTCCTTTCTATAAAATTTCACTTCATGATTTTTTTTATTTCAAATTATTATTTAATGTTTATTTTCGTTTTCATTTCAATGATTTTTTCATTTTCGTTGTTCCCATCATGGCTACATTTGAAGTTAAACTTTTCAATTTTTTTTTCGTAACAGAAAAAAAATTGAACAATTTATGATTTTTAGAAAATATACGGAAGAATAATATTGTGGGATTCTTCACGTATTGAGTTTCTCACAGTGTAAGGAACAGAGACATTTCATAAACTTCTTGAATTCATGTCATTGTTCTCGTCCTTTCGTTTATTTCAAATCATCTCTAAATTCAAAATTGAATTGTTCAAATAGTTTTTTTTTCTTCTAGAGGAGGATGAGGTAAAATGGACACTTGACTTTTTTTAAATGTTAATAATGGGTTGAATTGTTGATGAAAATGGAATTTTTTTATTTCAGTGAAAAGTGAAATTCTTCCCCTTTCGGATGAGCCTAAACTGATCTCAACGCATAAATCTGTTTCTGTATTATAAAGATTTATTTTTCACTCAAAAGTTTCCATTTTACCCCACCCTCCCCTATAGTAGAAAAAAGGATTGAAAAATCTATGATGAAATAATTTAAGAATTTTTATCAAATGAACTAAATGATAACATTGAGGAAATGCTCACGAATCGAGTTTCTCGCAGTTTCAACCATTTATTCCAATAAACTCTGCATGAAAAAAAAATGATGAGATATCCCTATTCAATAATAAATAATCAATTCCTTATTACCGTTCTTGATTATTGAGGAACCATTCATCCATCGTGAACCTATGGGGTGGCGGTGGGATAATTTCCACTCCCTGAGGACAATTTCTCCCCTTATTCGCCATATTTTTCCGATTTCACTCCAAACTTTTCCTCTCCAGTCGAAAATTTCTCCCCAAAAATTAAATCTAAAAGATCAAGGCTCCAAAAATAATGAGTATTGAAGCCAGATTTTCAACTGAACCCAACAAACCCTCAATATCAACCTCAAGGTCACTATGGTAACCCCCCGGAAATAAATAACCCGAAACACCACTTGATTACTCTCTGTTTCTATTTGAAATTAATTCGAAACCTATGATACAAACAAATTATTATAAATAGTTAAACAATTCTGAGCAATATCTTCCCACTCATTGGTAAATAATGTAATTACTGATATTGTCACTGGAAACACTTATCTAATCAATAATGAATATAAATAAATACTTTGTTCGTTTCAACAGATATATAAACAATCATGTTAATTCTAGTTATCGTTCAAAATAACTGACTATTAAAACGATCAATCTGTCTTAATTAACCATGAATCATTTACAAAAGTGTAACTATATTTATGACAATAACAAGATGATGTATGACTCGAGAAAACAAAATCTATACACAATTTCAATAAATGGGGAATAAACATCTCAATTCATGCAGTTAATGAGTTTTAACTAATCAATATGTATAAATTTTTTGTGTAATTAAAATTAGTTGTTGAGTTTAACGGATAATATGTGTAAAAAATGCCCGTGAACGTGCATTCACCAACAAATTTTTTCATAATATATGGTGTGCATCAGTAACATTGAAAATAAAAGACAGATTTGTTAATTAGTCAACTGAGAATCTCATTGAATCATATTTACAGCATAAATATGCTCAATAAAGGTGTGACAACAGTTTTCGATTGTTGGTATATATGGGTTATATATGTACATCGATGAATTTTTTATATGAAACTACGACATTTAATAGGTTTTTAGGCCTTGACAAAATGTTATTGTATCTCAGAGGACAATTTTTTTTTTTCAAATCACGCACGAAAAAAAAACTAACGCACTAGTTGGAAAATTTTAGTCGATTTTTATTGAAAATTCTAGGGATTTTTCGCTGATTCCAAGCCCAGATAATTGTTTATTTGAATGAAATAAACCTTATTTAAATCAAATGACTAGTTTTTTGAAGAAAAACAAATGTTTCTCTGATTCAAATCAGTACTTTACTAGTTATAAATAAAATCATTCTTTAGACATCGAGAGAATGAGTTTATTAACACGTGATAATTGTTTATTTGGATCAAATAAATTGTTTGATTCCAATAGGGGATTTGACTACTGCAATCGAATAATTCCATATGGCATGGAGACATTTGGAATTGATTAATTATTCATCTCAGATGATTTCAACATTATCAATGAAATAAATATATGAGATTATTAATTTCAAATAAAAATCTTGTTGAAATGAACGGCAAAATTTCGAAACAAAATTCTTTCTTCCAATAGAAAATAGTGGATAGAAAAAAATTCAATGAGTTGTTATACAAAATTTTCGGATGGAATTACCAAGGTTTTTCTGCCTGAATTTTTTTAGTGAACAGAAAAAAATGTGAAAAAACTTGGAAAATTCATGTCAAAAATTTTCTATACCAAATATCTCAAAAGAAAGTATAAATTTCGAGATTCATTAATTTTTTCCCACAAAATATTCTTTGATTTTTCAATAGAATCGGCGCAAAACTTATAGAATTTTCAATAGAAGTCTAATAAGAATTCAATGAAATTTTTTCGTCCGTAATTCAAAATCTTGCGTCTAAATATCTAGTATTTTTCTCTAATATCCCTGAATAATTGTAAGAATTCAGTACAAAATCCTAGTGCCTTTTATGAAAAACTATCCAGTTATTTCAGTTCTTTTAAAAAACATTTTTTGCAAATTTTTAAATGAAACTTGTGACATGTCTAATACAAATTTGCAGAAACATTCTGAACAAAATTTTTAGACTTCGAAACGTTTTTTCCTCTCTGCAACCATGCCCACTGAGGTCAATGAAGGATAGAGGGAGTTCTGATAGCCCAAAATTGGAGTTGGTGGAAGACTCCTGCATATTCGTCCGGACCATCTCACTGACGGCGACCTCATCAGCTCTGCAATCACAAAATAAGTTACATGGACATGTCTCGATGATTTGTCTTCCGTCATAAATTCTGATACTTTTTATCTGTCAATTATGATGAAAAAATAGTGTCACAGATGACGTCTGGACCTCAAGTATGACACCCCCACCTATAAGAACTCTATTAATCGAAAGAAGGAATTGATAAAACTTCGAAATAGCGCAACATCATTTAATAAAAACACTAAATTTTCTGTTGATATTGGAGTTGATCGGAAAATAGAGATAAATTTCATAAATAAATTCTACGTCATCATTGTGATCAGTTTCGTCAAATTGTCATTTATTACATTTTTGCTGTCGTCTGGAGGTGGGGTGGGGGG